GAATAATATTGCTGTTGTGTCTTTCACCGTCCCCTTTACATCATTCAGATCTGCAAAAGCAACAGCTACCTAGCGGTCGAAGGGTCGAAGGTGTCTCTTTATTTGCAATAAGAAAAACTCATCGCTACGATTCAAGAGAATAATACATCAATAAATCCCCGGCATTGTCACCATGTGACGGTGCCATTATGGAAAAATCGACAACGCATCGAATTGCGGCGTTCGCCGCGGGACCTGATTAAATTATTCTCAACACAAAGCATTCGATTTGTTTCGATAACGTTTTCCTATAACGCCGCGTAATTTCGCAGAGGTGTGCTGCCCAAACAGATTATGGCCGTCATCCGGCGGTTTTCCACCATATCACACGGTTTCCGATGCTCCCCAATTGATACGCCGTCCGGGGGGTAGTTTGTTTTTCTTTGTGCGCGGCTCCCCATATACTTTTTTCCATTTTGTAATAAAACTATCGATACTCGTGTAACAACGATACAACAGCCATGTCACATTTGGCTAATAAAAATTTTCTAAATATTTTGAGTCTAACTGCATAGGAATGTATTACATATACTAACATGATAGAAATAAAAGTCAAAAAATATGTTCAGTAGGTACCTACAATAGATGACTCAAAGAAATATGTGGGCATTGAAAAAACTAGAACTCTTGTAGTAAATATATTATAATATACCTATATTACTTTCAAATAGAAGTAAGTAAAGCATATAATTTAATTCGTTGCCTTCGCAGCATCAGTACTTACCGTCCTTGTTCATGCTAGCTTGGAAGCACTTATTCAGTCGGCATGCCCTGCACTGGTTGCGGTGCGTTTTGTCGACAGGACATCGTCCTTTCAGCTCGCCTGTCGCCTTGCACGTGTACACGCGGTTACGGTGGATGCTTCGCTTGAAGAAACCCGAACAACCTTCGAAAAAGAGAACAAGCGTTTAGATATAAAAAATGTACGTGGCGGTTCCAGATAATTAAACAATAAGGATGATATCGATCGGCTTAATTTGTTTAATATGTTCCTATCAAAATTTAAAAAATTAAAGAATTTGAGTTATCTCCACTTCCGAAACAATATCAGAGTAATAAAATCTTCCGTACTTTTACTTTTAAAAAAATATTTGAGAGGTTTGTTTATTTCAATGAATTCTATTGGTATCTAAAATGGGGCTTTAAATCGCAATTTTGGTCAACTTGCCTGAAGGTAGTTTGAGGTAGGTATCTTAATAATAATAAGTGACAGTAATTTTTTTTCAACCCCCGGCCAGGGGTGAGAAAAGTTAAAATTAAGGGGTTTTTCAAGATAACTCAGAAGGGGTAAGAGCTAGAAAAAAGTTTCATATAAAAGTTGTAAAGCATAAAATTCTACATGGTCTATTGACTTTTTGTTGTACTACAAAAATAACAAAGTTAGGGAGACTAGAAGATTTCAGAAATTTAAAAAATCGTAACAATCTAGGTACTCTAAAAAATGTAAACTTTCTTTTGAAAGTAATGAGATGAGAGATATGTTTTAATTTTTGATAAAGAAGTTATAACAATTTCACAAAGCGAACGTGATTTTGTAGATATCTTTGTGGTAAAACAAAATTTCGAAAGCAATTTTTCATTATTTTAAATAATCAATCGATTCAAATTGTTTGTGAAATCATAAAAATTAACGATTAAAAAATTGAAATTGTTATAATTTTTTTATTAAAAATTAAAAAATATATCTATTTCTCTAAAGAGACAGTTTACATTTTTTTGCTTATGATTTTTTTAAATTTCTGAAATCATCCCTTAACCTCCAGCCACCCTAACTCTGTTAATTTTAATAGTACAGGAAAAAGTCAATAGAACATTTCTATGTAACTAACTTATATAAAAAATGTCAGGCAAGTTGACCAAATTGCGATTCAAAGGCCCATTTAATTAGAATATAATAAGGTATCTAACTCTGGCTCTGGAATTACCCTAATTTGTGTACTTATGTCTCGGCAATTATCTTTCATGTTTATATTTAAATATCAGTTATCTGTGTCTAATTCTTTTGGTATAAGTATGAGCTGATTTTAACAATAACTTGCAACATGAATAGATTGGTAAATGAAAAAAAAAGAATGATTTTGGTGCTCTTATAAATACTCAAATGTGCCTATGTTTATTCTATTGGAAAATGTATCTTTTTTTACATTACTACCGTCATCATTTAACATTAGTTAAGCAGTTACTGTTTCAGATATAGTTATTGAATACTTCGATATATTTTTCTAAATACGTTATGTCACATAACTCACCGTCACAGCTATAAATTCCATAATGTTTTCCCGAACTTCTGTCGCCACATACCTTACAGGGAATATCCAACAATCTGTCCCCTGGAAATAATCACTATTTCATTATTCTTATAAAATAACGGATAGTACATGTAAAGGTGGATTTACATTACTATTTTTACATTTTTCAGAGTATTATTTTCTCTCAAATTTTCCAAAATAAGTGCTATAAAAAAAGAGTTAAGCGTAAAAATTTATCTAATTAGATATTTCAAAATCCCATCAAATATATGACAGTAAAATGCATTTGAAAGTAAATTTATAAGACTTATTTTATGAGAAAAATGCAGATTATAAAAGGAAGATCACTGCGTACGTAAGCTGTGATAAAAGTTATACCTACTTGGATTTTGTCGTTACCTCATTTGGTTGTGAACATGTCTGCGAAATAGGTAGTAGTCCATTTATTTGTTTGTTGATGGATCTTTAGTAGGTACTTTTTTACATAATTAACTTTTTTCCCACAGAAGTGAAAAAGAAATTAATTTTTTTTTAAGCTTTGCGGCAATATAATCAGTTAAAGGGCTAATACAAGTTAACGAAACCAACCCCTTGCCTGGCACAAGGGGTTACCTATTTAAAAAATTTAATTTTTTTCTTTACTATGTGGAAAAAATGCTCGATTAAATAATTAGAATTTGTATTACATTCGAATGAACCGGCTGTATACTTTACTTATCTGTATTTTATATTTCACGATTTTCTGGCAGAATTTAACAAGCAATCTAGCGCGCCTCGAATCAGCAGATATTTGGCAACACTGTGAGAAATTATTTACTTCGTGACCAGCAACTGGTTCGGAAATATTTGTCTTCAAATGTGGACGATAGAAAATTGTATTTAAATATTATATTAATTGAAAAAAAACCATACCTCATCAGGGATCGAACCCCGAACCTTCAGATTAGTAGGACAACGCGTAACGCTTTGAGCCACGAGACCACATCTATTTAGTTTCGATAACCTGGCTTATATACTTAACGTTGTGCCTCTTGTGATATAAACAATAATTATAATGAATATATTGGCAGACCAGTACCAGTAATAATATTATTGGCATATTTTGAAGAATTATCAAAAACAATAAAAAATAAATTGTTACATATTTCAAAAAGACCTATTTATCTGTCAGTTTAGAGAAAGTATAGTGCTGTAAAGTATTTTCCATGGTAATATACATTCGCGAAAAAACTGTTTAAATAGAAAAGTTATCTAATAAAAGTTTTTGACTCACGAGATGAGAGAGATGTCTTGTATTATGTTTCAATTTTACCATAATCTAGCGGATAGGACTTTTTTCGAGTAAAAATTTAATTTGCTTGGTCTATAATATAAGTAAAAAGATGAGATAAGTAAAATTATCCAAAAGGAAACAATTAGGTTTTATCACAATTTAACACAAAATTAATTTATAGCGATGTGATGTGCAGGGAGCCGCGCACGACCCATCATCTCGCCCTCGTCCCCCATTCAACGTATGCATTACATCACATGCGAAGTTGTGAAGACAGGAAATCAAAGAACAAACACATCCCGACTTCAAAGACACCCATCAGCTTCATCGAGCTCTAATCCTTGTTCTCCTAAGGCCCCGCAAGCTTGGCGGCGCAGCTACACCAACTTCGTCAGCTATTCCGAGGATATATTTACCAGACCGGAAGCGAATTGCACAATGAATTTCATGAATTCCTAATTAGCTTTGATAAGTGTGGGAATCGGGAGGATTAACAAGCGATCGGTTGATAATCTTCGAGGGACTGGAAGAAGTTCCACGGACAATAAACATCAACACAAACATAGTCTATTTAAATACGAAATCGTCAGTATTTCGTAAAACATGTGGGATTTTTCTGAACAATCTGAACCTAAAAAACAAGAGCCGAATAAGTCTTGACATTGGCGAATAAGGTCCATATTTTTAAAATCCCCCTAAAATTTCCATTCGTCGTCGTCTATACAATTTGGTGTAGGTACGCGTAAAGTAATTACATATATATACAGGGTGAGTCAGAAAGAATGGGTCAACAATAAGCTGGAGATACTAGACACCAAAATATTATGTTTGAGCTCATCATGCCTTATACGAATGTCGCTGGTTTAAGAAATACAGGGTGTTTAAGGTTTAAATTTTATTTTGAAATTTCTCAATAATTGGGAAAGTTTTAATAGCATGACTCTGAAAATTGGTACTAATGGGTTTTTTGGTGTGAGAATTATGAATTTGAAGCTTATTTTGACGTTGCTCCTAGAGGGCGCTAGTTCCGCCATATTATTTAGGTAAATCAAAACATATTTTTTTTATCTGTTGACCTATGCTTAAGAAAAGTTAAAAATCTAAAAGAACGTCCAATTCTACATAAAAAATATACTCTTGTTTAGGTCGCCTAACTTTATCGGTTTCTAAGTTATTTGCATTTAAAAGTTTCAATGTATGTATTTTGTGGTGATTTTTTATTCTCAATTATTGACAATAGTAATAATAACAAACCTTAAATCAAATGCTGGATGTGTCCACCACCTACCTCAATACATTTTACTATACACTCTCTTAAATGTCTCTGAATNTTCTGAAGCATAGGTCAACAGATAAAAAAAATATGTTTTGATTTACCTAAATAATATGGCGGAACTAGCGCCCTCTAGGAGCAACGTCAAAATAAGCTTCAAATTCATAATTCTCACACCAAAAAACCCAATAGTACCAATTTTCAGAGTCATGCTATTAAAACTTTCCCAATTATTGAGAAATTTCAAAATAAAATTTAAATCTTAAACACCCTGTATTTCTTAAACCAGCGACATTCGTATAATGCATGATGAGTTCAAACATAATATTTTGGTGTCTAGTATCTCCAGTTTACTGTTGACCCATTCTTTCTGACTCACCCTGTATATTAGGTGTATAACGAACTAATTTATTCAGTATGATGCCACTGTAAGCAATGATAATGAAAATTTTATATTTATCCTCAAGAATGTCAGTAGGTAATTATTTAACGGTTGCAAGTTTTATTTCCCAAATAAAATTTCAGATATTTCGGTTTTACTTACCATTCAATTTTATTAAATAACTAATTATCTTTTTAATTAATGTCTGCCAAAGAAATCAGTCAAGGGGTTGACTTTACAAACTTAGGTTTACCTGACCATAAACATATCACAATGAGTAAGTAGATAGTAATAGATACGATTTGTTTGCCTTTTCAGTGTGGTATATATAGAAGTGCTTAACGTTTGACTTTTAGTCAATTTGAGTTTTGATAATATGTATACACCAGAGAATTTTCCGAAAGGTTAACTACTCATGTATAATGTATATACAGGGTGTCCCGTAAAGTATGTTACAAACTTTGGGTGGTGATAGTACATAAAAAAATATGACTAAAAACTCTAATAAACATAACCTCTTAAACGCACCGTTTTGAAGTTATAGGCCTTAAAAGGTGCAACTACAAAAGTAGTTTTTGTGACGTAACTCTTTGTTGGAAAAAGAAAACATAATGAAATTTTCAGGGACTAGTCAGCTTTAGGAAGCCAATAAATAATGTGGATATTAATAAAATTGAGAAAGCGGAAGGGTGTTTTTTTATCACCCTGTATCCTATTTTTTGCCAAAAAAAATTTTTCTGCAAAGATACAGCAAATATCATAAGATTTTTAGAAAGACCATTGAATTTAGAAATTTTTTTGTCTCTTGCATTTTTTATGTAAAATGATTAGTTTTCTAATAAATTTACAAAATGCAAAGGGAGTTTACTCACCGCTAGGTGTTAAATTTGACGTATTCAAAAAGTAGGCGCCTGTCACTTTTAACATAGTTGACATTTGTTACCATATTTTAATCGTGTCTGTTGACGAATTATTAATTTGTGAGTACAATGGCGGATAACAATCGTTTTACTAATCAAGAATATGCCGAAATGCATTTTATTTATGGATTATGTAATGGAAATGCAACAGCTGCTCGAAGAACATACATAGAACGTTATCCGCAGAGACGTCAGCCGTCTACACAATTATTTACTCGGATTCACAGACGGATTATTGAAACTGGTAGTGTGGTACCCCGTTACATACATTGTGGTAGAATTGCTAGAAGACTACCCGCGCAAGATGAACAAATTTTGAGATCTTTTGAACAAAATCCGGGAGAAAGTGTGCGAAGGGCAGCTAATCAGTTACAGCTTTCCAGAATGTCAGTTTGGCGTGTTTTGAAGGAAAACGGCCTTTATGCCTACCATCTCCAAAAAGTGCAACATTTAATGCCTGAAGATCTTCCCCGACGCCTAGAATTCTGCCGAATAATACTTAACCATCACCAACATAATGTGGAATTTATTAGCTCCATTTTATTTACCGATGAAGCCACCTTTACACGAGATGGTTTACTGAACTTGCACAATGCACATGCATGGTCAGACGAAAATCCTCATGCTACCATTGATAGTCATCACCAACACCGATTCTCAGTCAACGTATGGGCTGGAATAATAGGTGACTATTTGCTCGGGCCTTTCTTTCTACCTCAAAGGCTTGATGCAGTAGAATATTTAAACTTCCTAGAAAACCATCTCCCTGAGTTAATGGAAAATGTTCCTTTAAATTTGAGACAATACATGTGGTACCTCCATGACGGGGCACCTGCGCATTTCAGTGTTCATGTTAGAGAGTATCTACATATGCGGTTTCCTAATCGATGGATTGGAAGAGGATATAATGCACCAATAGCCTGGCCACCGCGATCACCGGACTTGAATCCTGTCGATTTTTATCTTTGGGGACACGCGAAATCTCAAGTTTATGCAACCCCTGTTGATACAGAAGATCAACTTAGACTGCGAATTGTAGAAACCTTTAATTTAATAAGAAATAGTCTATTCATATTCCAAAGAGTCAGATTTAACTTTATAAAGAGACTGACAGCATGTATCGATGCAGAAGGAGGTCAATTTCAACATTTATTATAATAACATATTTTGTTTTAGTTCTGTTTTGGTTACTTAATTAAAAAAATTATTTTGGAAATTGATTGTATTTTTAAAAATTCACTAGGCTTAAGAAATGCATGTAAATAATTCGGAAGCACTCATGCATTTTGTAAATTTACTAGAAAACTAAACATTTTACATTAAAAATGCAAGACAAAAAAATTTCTAAATTCAATGGTCTTTCTAAAAATCTTATGATATTTGCTGTATCTTTGCAGAAAAATTTTTTTGCCAAAAAATAGGATACAGGGTGATAAAAAAACATCCTTCCGCTTTCTCAATTTTATTAATATTCACATTATTTATTGGCTTCCTAAAGCTGACTAGTCCCTGAAAATTTCATTATGTTTTCTTTTTCCAACAAAGAGTTACGTCACAAAAACTACTTTTGTAGTTGAACCTTTTAAGGCCTATAACTTCAAAACGGTGCGTTTAAGAGGTTATGTTTATTAGAGTTTTTAGTCATATTTTTTTATGTACTATCACCACCCAAAGTTTGTAACATACTTTACGGGACACCCTGTATAAGATATAAGTACCGTATTGATTATTGTGCCGTTTGAAGAAAGAAATTAGTGTTTTCTCATTGTGATGCGTTTCTGGTTAGGCAAAGCTAAATTAATAAAATCAACCCCCCGTATAACTGATTCTTTTTCCGCAAGGGACTGTCTGTTTAATTTATTTTCTTTTCCATGGGACAGAAATATCCAATTAAATAAAAGGAATAACTAAAAATGCCACAAATAAGTAATTACAGACTGAAATTAATGTTCTAATATTTGTATAATTCTAGAATATTTTTTTCTAGTTTAGTAAACTGAAGATAGTGATTACAATTAATATGGGCCCTATTTGGTCATACTTACCTAGATACTAAGGATAAAAATATATTATTTGAAGTAATTCACAGCAATACTTAAGCTCTTACATTTTGCTTTTGAAAAATGGAGATGTACCTACTTAATTATAATTAATTTGCAATGTTCTTATTTGTATGATCTTCGTGTCGGTTAAACTTTTTTATATAGGTACTCATATATGTTAATGAAGAAAAATAGATCTGATTTTCGCTGACTCACCTGTCCCCATCCTCCGGCCCTGTCCGGATCTTATTTTTCCCCAAATAGAGGAATCTATTTTGACGATTAGCGCTCCCCGTTGCAACGCAAGACCTCGCCCTCGCCCGACTCCCTCCGTAGCACGACCTTCACGAAAAAAATCCACCGGATGTCATCGGCGAAGTTCCAAATGGAGCAAGTCGGCGGCAACCCCAGAAATTTATATTGCCCCCCGATTCAGCTTGAGCCAAAATCGCGACTACCCGACTGATCCGCAGCCACCGATCTTCCGTCCGCAGGCCATTTTGTCACACCCCCACCCGTTCCGATGTCATCCCATCCCCACCCCGGTGCCTGGCGTCGCGCTGCCCCCCGCGAGAGGATGCTCAGCCACCTAACATTCGCAACGTGATCATTAACTTGATACCGTAAAACGGCGTTCTTTGTGCCGCCGCTTTTATTTCCATTTCCATCGCCCGTTTGCGGTTTGGGTTTTATTGGAGGCGGCGGCGGCCGACGTGCTTAATCGGATGGATGCAGCTGTTCCGGTCTTTGCAAGTCGTAAAAAACCGCTCCCCAGCTATGCAGCGGCTTCGGACTAAATGGAATCACGTCTTATAAACCTTAAAATGAACAACGAAAAAGGTAAATTGTTCATAGCGTGCATTTTCTTAAAACAATTTGCAAAGATTTTGAACCAGGCACAAGTGATACGTATCTGATATATTACAGGATTACTTTTTACTAATTGTAAGTAAAGATTTTAATGAGGCAGGTAAAGTTTGGGATCTGGTCGTTTCCAGTGTCGGTAAGCTGCCCCGCCGTCGCCGTTCCAACAAGATTTTCAGCCGTTCTGCAGGGTATCTGGGAAAATCCTGCAGTAAATCGGCGGCGGCCGTATCAAGTGACCCGTGGTTGTAAAGTGTGGGAAGATGCAGATGGGCGTAACGACTTGGCGGGGTTGCTATGAGAGGCGTGTCAATTCGCCTGCGCGGCCCAATCACTGTCCGCCGAAATAGGTGAACGTCAGTTTCAGTCACATAGCTTCTCGCTTCAGCTGAAGCCTGAAATGTCCCGCTCGGTTAAATATTCCTGCTACATTTCACCTTCTGAAAGAATTCTCGCCGGGGGAGGTTCGTGTTTATCGCGGCGTCACAATCAAAGAGGTTAATCAGATACCTAAGCAGTTGGAAAAATGTAGTTCTGTCTGTTCTCACAGGACGTCCACGCACGTATCCTTGGAAAATTTGATAATTTCGAACGGTGATCTAAAAAATAAACCTGTATCGGCGTTAAATGGTAAAAAAAGTAAAGGGTGAAGAAATAAACGTAATAAAAACAGCTGAATGAAAACCAGAACAAAGTCACAATCCCAATGGAAACAGACAGTGTTAAAAAAAGGCTAGTGAAATTATTTGAGAAAAATCTTTTTCGTACTAGCTTTATTAAAAACAATTTATTTGTCTCTCCTCTACATTTGTAAACAATAAATTAGGTATATTTCGTTTTTTGTAATAACTTTAAGCATCATAGCTATATCTACCTATGTTCAGATATACTTATTTTACGAAAATTATAGTGACCACAAAAAGTAAACGTATTGGAGGAACTGAAAATAATTCTTATGGTTCTTTTTAACTTACTTAATTGCTTAAAGTAAAAAATTTTCAATTGCTTAAAACTCTAAAATTTTTCATAAGACCGATGAGGTTCGGCGTAATGGATTTTTTATGGCAATTACGAAATTCTCGAGAAGATACACAGCTTTAAACTCTCCCCCGCAATAAGTTAGTAATCCTGACAGTGCCGTTGCGGCGGCGAAAGGGTTACAGCTGCCGCTCCCATTCCTATTAATTTACTGGAGGATCTGCTCGATTGCCACTGCGGTCGTTCGAATCTCGACCAGGAAATTTCCTCCATCGTAGGAACAACCAAAAGGATGTGGACGATATCGCGGAATATGTAATCCATTGTTATAATTTAATTTGTTGATTATTTAAATCATAAAATGTCAAAACTACATGTTATCCGATGCAAGTGCAACCAAAATATACGAGGTTAGTCAAAACTAAGTACCTACTTACACTGCTAAAATTAATTTTCGGTTAAACCGGAAGATAAACAATAAATTCCTTTCACCTTGAAGTTGGTAATGTCATCATATCCTTTTCCTGTCTATATTTTTTTTGTAATGTTTTTCTCTCTAAAAATTTGGTTGAGCATTCATCTTTTTTGCCTATTTCGAATAAAAGAGAATCCTCTGCAGAGATAAAGCTATAAAATAAATATAGACGACATACCTAAGTAAGATAATCTTTTACTGTTATTTCTGTATACTCTAAGTGGGCAGTAAGCCACTTGTATGCAACACGTGACCTCTACTTCCGGAGAGATTAGTTCAATAAAACAGCGTTATTTGGCAGCTCGAGAACTCAAATTCGGATGTGGCCGATCCATTGTTCGAGCCGCAGAACGTGATTCAAACTTTAAAGGGGTGGCTTTTCAATGTTTACCCTGAGTGTTTTTATAATTTAATAGACTACAACCCGTTGATCGGTGGTCCGGACTGTAGTTGTACGAGGTTTTGTAGGAGGGAGCGAAAATGTTTTTCAGCAAGAAAATTGGTAGGTATAAAATCATACTTAAACATCAGATTGCAAAATGTATCAATCTTATCCATCTTATTTTAGGATGAATAGTATAAGTATAATATCCATAATTATCTCTTTATTGGAATTTATTGATCGAGATATACCTACGATTACGGTAGATACCTTGATGTTGATGTTATTCGATTTTTTCCATTATTTCGCTTTTAAATTCATAGAACTATGACGTAATCGTAATACTATACCTATATATTTCTGATTTCGTAATTAAGTATTCCGATCGACGCCCGATGCATCTAAATTACACGAGGTTAGTCAAAAGTACCTAAATATTGATAAAATTGATTTCCAGTCAAAGTAGGTAGGTACCTACAATTTTCTCTAATTTGAACGAGACATAATGTACACTGAAAAAACAATTACTTTCTATTAAAGGAATCGGTTGTTTTGAATGCAGATAATTTAAATTTATGCTAGTTACATTGAGATAAACCAGTTACATTCAATACAAGTCATTTGATTTGTTTGAATTAAAAAAAGAAACAGTTTGCAACAGATTTGTCTATAATTAACAAATTAGATTTAATATAACCATTTATGATTTTAGAATATTTGTTAGGCGAATTAAAAGAATAAATTTTTAATACAAATTTATATTCGTTTTTATTTAATAAATATTATTTTATATTGGCCTATCTAACGTTACAATTAAACTTTAAAGGAAAATTATTCCAAATATATAATTTCTTAAATGTGAACCAGCTGGTTATAAAAGTTAAATTTTTATATAGTTTAAAACTATTATCAGTTCAATAGTAAAATATATTATTTAAAAATTATTCCAATCACGTGACCAAGTTGTGTTCTCCCCTGACAGTCGTATCTTCGCCATCATGGCGACTATGTATGCAAGCTGCCTGTAGTGTATTGTTTAGTTCAGTAGGCTAGTATGGACCTCGGT